TAGGCTCAGCCGGTGCAGTGGGGAGTGAGGCCATGCCGGGAAAGCGACCGAGACTAGACGCAGAGGTGGCAGCTTTTCCCCTGCTGGAGACACGGGACTTCCTGACCAAAGGCCAAGTATTGGACGTTCTGCGCAGAATCCCCAATAATGAATGGAGTCAGCGATGGGGTGGGGCATGCTTCAACTTCGGAGCTTACCAGAGAGTTCAAGCTGGCTACCGCTCTTCCACAAGACGGTATCCCCTGGTTACTAGACTGTTGACAAGGTTCGCAACACAGTGGTCGCCTGACACCAAGTTTACGACCATTACAGTGATGGTGAATGTGGCTTCCCCACCGCACTGTGATTCCAGGAACAGTGAGGTACCAGGAATGCTGATGGCACTGAATGCTGAGTTTACAGGGGGGGAGCTTTGGGTTGCTCACGACGAAGGACCTGTTTCCATGATGGTGCATGGCAGACGCCACCAGGGGATCAGGGTTGATCTCGCGAGCCCCTTCAGCTTCTCAGCAAAGAGAGTGCTACACGCTGCTCTTCCTTGGTCGGGTGAAAGATGGGTACTGGCAGCATACAGCACGGCCAACAGCGCCACCAACATACGAGCTGACACAGCGTTTGGGCTGGCGGCGCTGGGGTTTCGACTGCCTACGGAGGAGGATGAAGATCGTTTCCGACATGAGATCTGGGGGGCCACAATCGCAAAACAGCTGAGATTTACACCTAGGCTGGTCTGGCCAGTGGGGGCGCTACTTCAGTCGGGGCCAGTGGTAATTGACTTGGAGGACAGCTGTCCCCCTACCATTGAAGTATTGTCGGACACAGATTCAGACGTGCTAAGCATGGTCCTGGATCCTGCCTCCCCAGAACCCGACTACTGGGACTGTGTACTCACGGATCCTGAGTCAGAAGTCGAAGCAACATAGCTGAGCTAAGGGTGTGTAGGTGCATGTCGCGGGTAAACTGCGAAATGGGCTCCAGACTGGCACAGCCGTAGTGTTAGCCGGAAACCCAACATGGACCTGGGAGCGATTTTCATCGGCGTCTTTTCTATTGCGGCCATAGTGGTTGCTTTGCTTTTCAGGGAGATACACCGAGAGCTGCGAGCACAAAGAATTCAGTGCGAAGCATGGGCTAGAATTCACAACGAGCGAGCCCACATGACGACATCCCTGCAAGAGATACACCATGAAGTGGTGTATATTCGGAAGAAGATGACTGATGCTCTGGGATCACTCTTTGGAGGGATGGACCTTCGTCAGAAGCTGCAGTCCTTAGAAGAGATGCATGACAAAGTGCAAGATGTTGCCGAAATTCAGCATGTTGCATTCCTCCGAGCTAGACTCACGGTGGCGCTTGAACGAATTGATAGGCTACGTGATGCAGTTGAGAGAAGCCTGACAGCGGTCCTGCTGTATGATGCAGCGGAGCGAGGACAGGCAGAAGGAGAGGGGTCCCGGGCCGAAGACTAAGTTCTCGGTGTTAACTTGTTCGGTGTCGTTTTTTGATGTCTTGACCCGTACTTGGTTGATTCACGGTCCCGAAGCCCCTTCCCCTGAATTTAAATGCATAGGGCCCACCGGAATTTGTTTGATGCATGTCCGCATGATACATAGCATGTATGCATGACCCGTTGCATGTTGTGACCGTCGCGTGCTTGAAGCCCTCACGACCACCGATGCATGCATGGAGACTCGCGAAGCCGGTGAACAAAGGGCTAAGGAAAGGAGAGCTGGGCAACCTTTGTGGTGTACTCTTTCAGGACGAGGGCTTGCCAGTGCATTCAGTCGTTGAGGGTTGAGCGGGGCCGCTTCCAGTAACTTGAGGCAGGGGACTGAGCGCGATTGGTGAGGGTTTTTTTGTTGAGTTCCCCTTCAGCCCACACCTCAACACACACATGTCATGAACCTTGCCTAGACATGATTGAGAGTGAGTGCTAATTGCTGATGGTAAAGGTCGCTGAGAGACTCTTGCCAATGTGAAGGTGAGTTGTACGCTGAGGAGTCATACTTGGAACTGGTGCTAACTCGCAGTAAGCCACCTCTCGAGCACTCGTGATAAGCTTAGTCTGCCCCCTGTGCTGCCATGATGGCCCTCCTTTGGGACCTCCTCGAGATGCTCGCAGGCTTTGCCCTGGGTGCATGTGATATGAAAGTGGCCACAACGACGGTGGTAGTGGCCGTTGCAACGTGGCTGTGGTGCTACAGCCGATCCAGCTTCGTGGCCGCGGCAGAACGCGCCCACAGGGCCATCCTGGAGGAGCTGCTGGGGCTGATGGTGGAAATCCGCCTCCAAGTAGCATGCGAGCACGAGACCACGCGTGATGGGATGTGCTTTGGCGACCTGCAAGCCAGAATTCAGGCCACAATCAACAAAGTCATGGCCAATGGTGTCATGACTGAAAAGCTGGCTATCAGGCTGGAGGCAGTGCATGCGGGGCTCGCCAAGATCTCGTTGAACCTCCACAAAGAAATGGTGGAGGCCATAGATCTCTACCTGAAGGAGCTCAAGAAGGATGTGAACGCCCACACGGAAACGACGGCCAAGACGCTGCTGGGAGAGATCGCGAAGGGGGTCGCAAGTACACTGGAAAAGCTGGGAGACAAAGTCCGTGGCGACATCCAGACTTGTGTCTCGGAAGCCATCGCCAGGTTCGAGAAGGAAACGGCCAAGCTTGGCAAATCCATCGGGGCACTGGGAACGGTCGTGCAGGACAAGTTCAACGAAGTCCTGCGCGAAATCTGTAAGAGCTACGACAAGATGGTCAAGGAACACCGCGAGACACGCGACCTGCTGGCATGGGTCCAGCAGGAGGTCGGGCAGATCAACAAAGCCTCGGACCATCTCCCTGACCGGCTTGTCATCCTACGCGACAAGCTTGACGAGGTGCTACACAACGTGGACCAACTTCGGCAGGCCGTTGAGGCAATGATGCCGACAAGCCAGGGAGATGGAGGCAGCTCGTCCCCTCCTTCGGGGGGACAAGGACAGCAAGCGCAAGGAACGTGGACACCGCCGCCGCAGCCGCCGCCCATGGATCACACACAGGGCCCAACCTTGCTGCATCTGGACTCGCAGCTCCCCATGTCGATGCCGAGACAAATGCCGGCCCTGATGCCAGTGACTTTGCCGGATGGCAGAGTGCTTTGCATCCCCAGGAGCGTCATTGCTCAGCTCGTGGGAGGTGGTGTGTAAAGTACCATAATCGAGGTGAGTGCTCCCTTTATTTATGTTGGGCCCCTACCTCACTTTGTTCCCTGTTCCTTGTGTTTGAGTCTTGAAGGAGCTCTCGACCACCTCTCAGCTCATATGTCATGGACGTTGCATGTTTTTGGAATCCCAGGCTGCACGTGTCGCAAATGTCACAGACGCGGGGTGTAGCGGTCGGGCACAATGCATGACTTCACAACGATGAGTGCATGGTGAATTAGATGCATGTCGGCATGTTGAATTTGATGCATGCTGCCAGTGAATGACGTGGTGAACACGATGTATGCATGTGCATGAAACAACAAGAATTTTAGAATTCTGTGCATGACAAGGCCAGGACAGAAGGCCGTAATGGTCCATGACGCGCCACTAGGGCAAACCACAGACTCAGGAGTCAAAAGTGCGTGAGCGTGAAGGACGGAGCGAACCCACCGAGAGCCCAAGCAGCCCAGACCCAGTGGATTGGCACTTTGATTCGGGGATTTGTGAAGGTTGGAGTATTTTGCGTGTGACCAAAGCTGAAGCTACCGAGAGCCCAAGCAGCCCTGTGCCCCATGTGCCCACGACTAAGCCCCCAAATGCTGCCCACTACATTGGGAAGACACTAGCCTCGAGCCACCGCCGAACTCCTGCAAAGACAAAATCTCCGGCTCAGGTGATGATGCCGTGCCGACCTTAACAGCTACGCTGAACCGCCTCCGCATTTGAGCCCCTGCCCTCTGCCCCCCCTGCTGGCCCCTCTCTGTCTGAAGACCCGTGTGGATCGATGTCGTCACTTCGTCTCCGGTTTCTTAGTCGTGTAGGCCCCTAACCCTGTGGGTGTAGAAACCACTAACCCCGCGCCTTCGGCCATGGAGTCGCTGCTAGCAAGCTGCATGTGTACTGGACACACCCAGCAACGACTGACGCTGACTGAAGGGATGCTGGGCTATAGCAATGGACACAAAGGGCCCCAGTCCAAAGACGCGCGGGGCGACGTGTTACATGGCTGAGTGGAGCCGTGACTTTCGCACGGATGCCGGGCCCAGGGCACAGATGGGACCCTGGGATGCTACGCTGAGTCTGCAAAGTCAAGCTACCATGACTGCATGGTGGGATATACTGCGGGAAGAGGGTGTGGCAAGCTGGAATTCGCGGTGATGTGCATACAATGGGGCTGGAAATTGCTGCGTGGATGATTCGTGGCGGATACAAGTATCTGCATACAATTGGAGGACGCCACAAGCAACATCGTGACAGGGTTGGATGTGTGGAGGCGCACTTCAGTGCAATGCCGTGGAAGCATGTTGATGTAGATCATGGAGAAGACTGCAATGAAGGACGAGTTGGACACTGAGCATGAATGTACAACTGCATGATGCATGTGCTGGGAATTTTGAATCAACTGCATGTGGGAAGAACAACGAGGGAGTGGAATTCGTGGATCTGGGTTCTGCCCTGCTGCCTGCATGACGCCTGGATGCTATGATGGTTATGAGAAAGAGGACAGCAAGTGGAGGAGATGTGAATGCCTGAAGTACATGCGCCACCAGTGTACATATTGTGAGCTGATGTTGTGCATCGCTAGCCCTGCGTAGATCTGGCAGTGCCTGTAAGTTGATGCTCCCGGTAGTTGTTAATGCAGTGGAGGGATGGTGATACGTGCCATTCCTAGTGCCAATGTGCACATCGTCGTGTACCAGGAACCTCGCCTAGACTTGTTCGAGAGTGAGTGCTGAAACGCCCTAAACGCCCTTAACCCAATGCCTGTGCCCTACTCTGTGCTGTGCTGGACTCCAGACCCTCAACCTTAGGTCGACGAGCTCCTCGGCTCGGTTGCTCTGCTGGGTGCAACGCAGCTCCAGGCGCACCCCTCCGCGCGCGTTCGGCAGTTGCTCGGCGGGGCCGTATAGTTGGAACTTCAACTTTCGAGTGTTCATCGTTTCAGCTGTTCGGCGGCTGCAGGGTCTAGGATCCTGCCGATAAAGTGGGGTCCGAACTTGGGGGCCGTTTCTGGCAATTCAGATGCCACCATGTTTAGGACAATGATTCGGTCCTGACTCATTGCACAATGCCCCAAGGGATTGTGTTTTGTCTTTAGGCCCCTGCCGTAGTTGTAAGCTTTGGGCCCAAAACTTTAAAATGTTGAAATCGCTTCAAGCAGCATCTAGTCTACGGGGCTTTTGAGAGTGGGTGTTGTTCTACATGCTGATCACTTTCATGGAGGCCCACCGAAAGATATATTCACGGCTTCGGGTGCCAGAAGCAGCTGTGGGAAACTTGCAATGGGTTTTACCTAATTTGCCTGGAGAAGATTATGCCAGGAGATGGGCTTGTCTAACATCAGAATATGTCCGCAGCATTCCGCAGCTTTTTTTGGTTGCGGGTGTTGACTAGGATTCTCTGGAACAGTTTTATTCTGGGTGGAGCTGACTCCTACAACTGAGGCTGGCAGGCAACGCCTTGCGGCATTTGGTGTTGACACAGCTACTTGGACTGTGGGTTGTACGCTTCCCCGGGGACCTCTAAGTGCAAGGCGAAGAACTGCTGTTCGGAAGTAGCCCATTCACGTTTTAAAGAGCTGCTAAGCTGCTAGGCCTTACAGCAACGGGTGTTTTGCCGCCGGTTTTGGGTAAAGTAGATACACCGGAGCCTTGATGATTTGTGCATCGTCGCACATTAACATACCGCTTTATCTAGATAGGCCTCCCCTCTACTCTGGTGGACTTCTCCTGCGGGGTCGGTAGCAGCCCTGTGGCTGTTGATTGGCTGTTGGCGTATTGCACCTACAGCCACAAGTTCACAAAATCCACTCAAGCCCGGCCTGAGCTTGACCAATACAAAGCCGTCCTGCCACTCCTTTGAGGGCTTCAGGATTGCCCTGGGTGATGCTTACAGTCCCGGAAGCGGCACCTAGCACAGGGCCTGGCACACCATCAAATGTCCCACCAAGTGGTATTGCAACACTGCTTGGCTCTAGGGCCTATAGGTTGAAAATGTGAAGTTCCTGTTTGGGCCTTCGGCCTCTCTGTCCTGATTTGCTTGTGAATGGATGTTTGCTTCTCTAAACTTGCAAAACCCAAGCTAGGTCCTGCGCCCAGGCGTTTAGGCCTTGAGGAAAGTGGCAGCAAATACAGAGATGGGTCTTATTTGCATGTTCGCTTGGAGAAAGGTACCGAGCTTAAGCATGGTTTTCAATGAGGCCCCTTAGAGGTTACGGTTGAGGCTTCTGCCTGCCTCACACCATAGCGGAACTCTGCTAGACAGACCGAACCCTACACGTCGCACACAGCCTTAAACCCCAACCATGAGCTTGAAAAGATACTGGAAGAGCCCTACTAGGCGCAGCCTTTGTGTCGCATCGAAGAAGCTGCTCATGGAGATCCTGGATCCGAAGCATCTTTTTTTGGAGGCGTCTCCAGCTCTACGGCTCTTGGGGGGTTCCGCTCTAAACCAAACAAGCGCAAAGCTCGGAAATCCCGAGGGAGAGCTGCACTGTTTGTCGATGCTTTAGGTCTGACCGAGTTTGTAGGGTCTTTGTATCTTGGTACGAGGGGCAGTTTACGATGCAAGGTTTGGGTAGTGCAGGGATCTGCATGTGAAACAGGAATCCGACGCCTTAAACCTCAAGCCTCCAAAGCTGTCACTCAGCAGACCTATTCGACGCACGCCTCGCCTGGATTGTCCGAGTTGTGAGCGCCGATACCTGAACCGCCCCAAGTCTTACACGCAGGACATCGAGGATCTCTTGAGCTCTCCAGTGCCGCCCAAGAAACCGATGGAGAAGGTGATTTGCTTACGCGTGTGAGAAGGGGGGTTTGGTTTCGGCTGGATGTACCGATTTGCCATTGATGCTTGCGTTTAGGCATGCTCGGCACGGTTACATAAAGCTCAGCCATGACTGCATCGAAGACCAGGCTTTAGAGGCCCGCCATTCCACAAAGCCCGAGGAGAAAGCCCAGGAGAAGGCTCACGAAATCTCCTTCCGGCTCACGGAGAAGGATCGGAGATCGGAGGATGCTAAACTTCAGGGCCGAGCACGTGTGTTCGCATGGTTTCTGTTTTGAGCATAGTCGCCCAAATGCTGAGCGCTGCACCTTGAATTGTTTCCTGTGGCTGTCGAATGTGTTCTGTCCTCATCAGCGGCAACCTTTAAACTCAATAATAAGAAGAAGAAGGATGTAGCCATTTTTTGCCAGAAAAAGATAGTTGTACAGGGCCGTCGCAGGTTACTACAGCCTCAGCTTTGTGTATACCCGGTAGCCAGCCACTAAGCCTGCAACCGCAACATCCTGAGCAAACCAGGACGACCACAATGAATGGATACCCAGCTTTAGTGTCGTTTCAGTCTATCTAGCAGGATCCGTTTTTGGATTCAGCCCTTTGACCGGGGCCCTTTTCTCGAGAAGAGATGCCACCAGAACCTCACACGACGCTCGAGCCATAACCTTGCAATCCCTTTACCACTACTAAGGAATCGGGGTCAGTGCACAGGGTTCCAAACGGAAAGCCTTTCTTCGTCGACAGGAACAGGCTACGAGCACTGTGGGGCTTAAGCCCACTTCTTTTCTCTGGCAATCTCTCACACATATGTCCTCCATATTGCTCACATGGAGCCCTTCTGGACTCTCCAGCTGGCTTGAGCTTGAACCTGCGCACGAACACTCGACGAACACTGAACTGAGAATCCTACTATTCTATGAATGTAGAGTCGTGCGATTTGGGTCCCAGTCCCTATTTTTCATGTCAAGGAGCCCAGCTTCGCGATGTGGGTAGCTGCTCGCCTCGCCCAGCTGCGCAGCTTTGGCGCTGCAGCTGCTGGGACAGCAGTGAGTCCCCAACAGCAGCAGTGGGGGGGACACATGTTAGTGTGTGTGTGTGTTGTAGAAGCATCTCTGGCTGCTAAGATCTATTGCGCGGGGATCTAGAGTGGACAATCATGCTTCCCATGACCTCGACGGCATGCACAAACCAGGTTTTGAAGTATCAAGCCGAACCCGGGAAGCGTAGTCTTTTGTTCTTTAGACCCTTACGTGTGACCTCGGGTCCGAACCCTCCCTTGAACTCCAAGCCCGATTTGCTGCCGGGGAGCACTCTTTTGAGTAGCCCTGCATCAGGCATGCAGAGCTCCTGCTGGCGCCATCCCTGGTACAATCTCACTCAGTTACTCCGCCCTCAGAGATGGTACACAGGAATCCAGAAACACTTCATAAACTTGAGATCTTACAAGCCTGATGAAAATTATGCTCAAAGCCCTAAAGCCCTAGTGCCGAAACCTCAAAGCCTGAACTCCCGACTGACCCTTGACAAACAGGTGTGGGATGGTTCTGGCGTCACAGTTCTGGTGGCCTGTGTGCCGCTGGCAGCCCATGCGCCCTGGTTCCCGGGCCGGACTTGGAACACTTGCTGCGGGGGAAATGCGGGTTTGAGGTATACGGCAGGGTCTAATTACGTTTCAGGGCAGAGCACTCGAAGATTACTCGTATTTACTGACCGTAGCATATTCAAGCGACTTTAAACAGCGCAGCCATCACTTTGCAGAACTCTCGCCGGTGTTGGGGAAACGTGGTTTCGATGTGAGGCTTCAGGATATGAACGAATTCTTGTACCGAGATTCGAGTTTGGATTAGGCCTTCGGGTTTAGGAAGTGCTCGTGGGGTTTGAGTGCTCTTGCGAAAGTGGTGAACATGAACAGCTCTCGGCTAGGCATGAACCCAGCAAGCTGGAAGCAACAGGCAAAGGGCAGGTTTTGGAGAGAGGGTTCAGGAAAAGGTTATTTGTAAGTCACCGTTTGGAGACGGCTTTAGATGTTTTAAGGGTTACGCACGGGGATTGCGAGTCGTCTCATTGTCTGTTGCTTTTGGGTAAATGCTTCCAGTTCCGCTGGTAGCTTCAGCATTTTCATGAGATCAGCTGATGAACTCGAGTGATTCGAGTCTGCGGTGACATAGAAGGCTCGGTAGTTTGCATCATAGATCTAGCAACAGCTCTTTGATACGTGGGTTGCTACTTGTCTCTGTGTTATCACAAACTATGCCTCCAATTTGCCCGGGTTCCCCAACATGGAATCCTGCATTAAGGGACGTTGGAGTCTTTTCATAACTGCTGTTACACCTAGCCTCAGACCCACTGTCAGGCCCGGTATGAATGCGCTGCAAACGCCTACACTCCGCATACCCCAGACCTCCAAAGAAAAGCTTTACGAACCCTAAACCCTCAGCTATCTTAGAGCCCTAGAAAGCCTACTCTGGAGGCGCTAGAATCCCGAAGTCTGCGACGCTGTCAACCCGGAATCCGAAGCTGGAACTTCCAAAGGTTCGCTGAGCGGTTGCTGGTCGTTAGCCTTCTGAAAGCCGCCACAATGGCTCTGGGTGGACCCACGTTGGGCAAAGACCTGAGCCTGCCCCCTGGTTGCGCAGGGCAGCGTCGGTGGTTTTGGGAGTCTTGGGCTCCGGTTGTTGGGTTTGGAGGGTTGCCAGGGTGACTTTGATCCCCGCCTCACAAAGTCGATCGTTGTTCTTTCCGTGCCTGCCAAACATCCGAGGTCCAAAGCTGCGCATCCCCCGAAGCCCTCAGCTTGCCCCAGGTTCTTTAAGCAGCCCGTGGTGGACGAATCGCAAGCGCGCTGCTTGCTGAAGACCCTCCATCTTCTGAGGGTCTACCAGTCACTGAGCCTACTTTTGGGGTTTTAGGGTGGTTGGGGTGTTGGGGGTTTCGGGTTTTCGGCGGATTTCGGTTTAGGGCTGAGGGGTGCCTGCAAGTTAGGTTCACTGTTTGACACTTCGCTTAGCATTCATGTAAGGGAATGTAATGTAGGCTCTTAAGATTTTTAGAGCACTTAGAGTTCATCGTTATGTTTTCGCTTGCGATGTGGTTGCGTGGTGCTTTTTGTGCGTGATTGTTTGCGAGCTCTCAAGTTGTCAACTCAGGTCGGGCATCAAGGGCAGAGCGGTGCCGCATTTCCCTCAAGATGCTGGCGATCCTCGGCTCCTCAAGAGTAGGCATGTGTTGGCTGTCTCAGGTTCACACGAGTTTCCGGCGTGCTGCAGTTTGTCATAGAGCCTTGTTTGTTCAGGACCACACGTCGGTTGTTGTGTTCGGATGTAACTTCATTTGAATCCTTGCTTGCTATGGAGCTTCTATCCGATCGCAATGTCGAACCTCCGCTCACCGCTACCCACCTGAAGCCGCGCATTCTTTGCGGTAAATCCTGCGCACCGCTGCATTTGCATCGCGATCTGCCAGCTGAGACCCCGAACCCTGAAATTCAGAACCGTGGCCCACTCTTCGGAGACTACGAACCGAACATCGAAATTCGGAACCCGGAAAGATGTTATCCCCTAAACCTTTCAAGCCCCTGGGCCCTCATCCAACCCCAACCACTTAAACCCCAAGTCAAAGATGGTACTGTAGGATCCTGGACTCTCGAAGTTCCCCAGTCTTTTTCGAGCGGTTTGGACTCTCTTCTGAAAGTTTCTAGTCGCTTTCGAAATTCTCTAGTCTTTTTCGAGCGGATTGCACCTTCTTCGCAATTCTCTAGTTCCTTTCGAGCGGTTTGCTCCTCCTTCTGAAATATTCTAGAACCTTTCGGGCGGCTTGCTCCTTGTTGCAACGTCTCCAAACTGTCGAGTCTGAGCTTTCGAGCATTTGTCCCTTTTTCTGAATGCTGCTTGGTTGCAAAATTCACCAGTCTCTTTCGAGCGGCTTGATACTTGTCTTCAATTTCTCTAGTCTCTTTCGACATTTCCTAGTTTCTTTCGGGCGGTTTGCTCCTTGTCTTCAAATTATCTTTTCTCTTCCGAGCGGGTCGCTCCTGGCTTTCAAATTCTCTAGTCTCCTTCGAAATTCTGTAGTCTCTTTCGAGCGGAAGATTCTTTCTTCTGAAATTTCATATTTTTTTCGAGCGTTTTGCTCCTTCTTTTCAAATTCTCTAGTCTCCTGCGGCATTCTGTAGCCTCTTTCGAGCGGTTTGCTCCTTCTTTTCCGTTTTCTAGTTCCTTTTGAGTGGTTTGCTGCTTGTTTGTAATTTCTCTAGTCTCTTTCGAAATTCTCTTGTCTTTTTCGAGCGGGTGGCTCTTCTTCTGAGATTCCCTGATTCCTTTCCTTTCGAGCGTCTTGCTCCTTGTTTTTGAAATTCTCTGGTCTATTTTGCGCGGTTTGATTGAAATTCTCCCCAGTTCCTTTCGAGCGGATTGCTCGTTGTTCTGAAGTTCTATTCTCTAGCTTTTTTCAGGCGGTTTGCTCCTTGTTCTGAAAGTTTCTAACTCTTTATCGAAATTCCACGTCTCTTTCGAGCGGCTTGCTCGTTTTTCTGACATTCCCAGTTCTTTCGAACAGTTTGCTGCTTGCTTTCAAACTCTCTAGTCTCTATCGGTCTTCATCGGTTTTTTTCCAGCGGTTTGCTCCTTCGTCTGAAACTCTCAGTTCCTTCCGGGCGGTCTGCCCCTTGTTTGCAACAAAGGTACTAGGGAATTTCAGACGAAGGAGCAAATTGTTTGAAAAAGACTGCGGGATTTCGAAAAAAAGCTTGAGAAATTGCAAACAAGGGCAGACCGCTCGGAAGGAACTAGCGAATTTCAGAAGAAGGGGCAAACCGCTAGAAAGGAACTAGAGAATATCTGAAGAAGGAACAAACCGTTCGGAAATGACTCAGGGTTTTCGAAAGAATCTAGAGAAATTGCAGACAAGGAGCAGGCCGCTCGAAAGGAACTAGAGAAGTTCAGGAAGGAGCAAACCCTCCGAAACAGACTAGAGAATTTCGAAAGAAGACTAGAATTTGAGAACAAGCAGCAAACCGCTCGAAAGGAACCAGAGAATTTCAGAAGAAGGTGCAAACTGCTCGAAACATACTAGAGAATTTCGCAAGAGACTACAGACGTTTGTAGTCTCTTTCGAAATTCTCATGTCTCTTTCGAGCCGCTTACTCCTTCTTTCTGAAATTCTCTAGTTCCTTTCGAGCGGTTGGCTCGTTGTTTTCAAACTCTCTAGTCTCTTTCGAAAGTCTCTAGTCTCTATCGAGCGGTTTGCTCCTTGTTTTCTATTTCTCTAGTCTCCTGCGACATTCCCCAGTCTCTCTCGAGCGGCTTGTTCCTTCTTCTGAAAGCTTCTAGTATCTTTCGAAATTCCCGTGTCCCTTTCGAGGGGTTTGCTCCGTGTTTTCAAAGTCTCTGGTCTCTGTCGAAATTGTCTAGTTTTGAGCGGTATGGTCCTCGTTTTCACTTTCTCTAGTCCCTGTTTTCCTTTTGAGCGGTTCCCTCCTTGCTTTCAAATTATCTAGTCTCTTTCTGGCGCGGCTTGCTCCTTTTCTGAAATTCCCAAGTACCTTTGGAGCCGCTTGCTCCTTGTTTTCAGATTCTCTAGTCTCCTTCGAAACTCTCTAGTCTCTTTCGAGCGGTTTGCTGCTTCTTCCGAAAATCTCTAGTTCCTTTTAAGCGGTGTGCTCCTTCTTCTGAAATTCTCTGGCCTTTTTCGAGCGGTTTGTTCCTTGATTTCAATCTCTGCTCTCTAGTATCTTTCGAGCGGTTTGCTCCTTCTGCTGAAACTGTCTAGTTCGGTTTGCTCCATTTTCTGAAGCTCTGGTTCCCGTCGAGCGGTTTGCTTCTTATTGTCGAATTCTCTAGTCTCTTCAAAGTTCTCTTAAGTCTCTTCCAAGCGGTATGCTCCTTCTTCTACAATTCTCTATTTCCTTTCGGGCGGTTTGCTTTCGTTCGAAATTCACCAGACTCTTTCACAGGGTTGGCTCTTTCTTCTGCGACTCGCTCGTTCCTTTCGAGCGGTTTCGAGCGGTTTGCTCCTTTTTTTTCTTCAAATTCTCTAGTCGCTTTCGAGCCATTCCCTCCTTGTTTTCAAATTCTCTAGTCTCTTTAGAAGTTCTCTAGTGTCTCTCGAGCGGTTTGCTGTTCCTTCTGCAATTCTCTAGTTCCTTTCGAGCGGTTTGCTCCTTGTTTCCGAATTTTCTAGTCTCTTTCGATATTCCCTAGTCTCTTTCGAGCGGATTGCTCCTTCTTCTGAAATTCTCTAGTTCCTTTTGAGCGGCTTGCTCCTTTTTTCAAATTCTCTAGTCTCCGTTGAAATTCTCTCGTTTCGTTCGAGCGGTTTGCGCCTTCTTCTGCAGGGCCCTAGTTCCTTTCGAGTGGTTTGCTGCTTGTTGTCAATTTCTCTAATCTCTTTGGAAATTCTCTAGTCTCTTTCGAGCGGCTGGCTCCTTCTGAGACTCTCTAGTTCCTTTCGAGCGGTTTGCTCCTTGTTTTCAGATTCTCTAGTCTCTTTCGAAATTCGCCACTAGATTTCGAGCGGTGTGCCCATTCTTCTGAAAGTTTCTAGTCTAAATCGAAAATTTCTAGTCTCTTTCGAGCAGTTTGCTCTTTCTTCGAAGTTTCTAAGTTTTCGTCGAGCGGTTTGCTCCTTCTTCTGAAATGATCTATATCCTTTCGAGCGCTTTGTTCCTTGTTTTCAATTTCTGCAAATTCCCAAGTTCTCTAGTCTCTTTCGAGCGGCTTGCTCCTTGTCTTCAATTTCTCTAATCTCTTTCGACATTCTCTAGTCTCCTTCGAAATTCTCTAGTCTCTTTCGAGCGGTTTGCTCCTTGTTTTCAATTCCTTTAGTATTTTTCGATATTCGCTCTGTGTACTATGCTTGCATAGTACTCTGTGTACTTGATCCTATGTACTTGTCTTGAGGGCTTCGCACGGAAGAACCCTTCGCGATGCTTTCGGGAAAAAGCATCAAAAAGCTATGAATCCCCGCAAAAAAAACCATAGTAGCCCAAAAGGACCCATTTTGGTCCAACCTCGACCTCTTCGCGGCGGCACAATGCGCTGCGAAGTGCGACTCCAGGTCGACTCGGCAAGGGTTTATAATGTTTTTCTGGTGTTGTAGGGCTTAGGATGTGGGTTTCTCGTTGCATCGGATCTGTTGTGAGGTCCCGCAGGGTTGCAAGGGGTGCTACAAGGGCTTAGAGGGCTCTATAAGTTCTACACGGCTTTTGAGGGGGTGAGGCTCAGCAGTATAGACGAGAGAAGGAGAAAGAGAGAGAGAGGGTGGTGTATATCACAAGTACAGCAGCATTCCTCGAAAGTTGATTAAACCTCGCGATTGCGTGGCTGATCTCGGTGGCTTCATCGAGCATGTTCAATTGTGACGTCCTGCGTATCCTACCAGATGCTGGTTTTAGTTAAGTTGTTTCTCTCGGGGGTCTGCCTTATCCTTGTCAGGTATAGCTTTCAACTCTTGGAGCTCCACCTGCAGCGACGCCAGCCGCTACCGTGCACGTACGATGGAAGACTTAGCGGCTTAGGCTTAGGGGTATTGTGATTCAGGGTGCAGCAGCTTGCTGCTTTTCACTATCAGCAAGACCAGACACTACTCATATTGAGAGCGTAGGCTTTCGAAGCAGACATAAGCAGACGGGATTGTCAGACCCTCTCTAGACCCTTATGAACCCCTACATGCGGTGCCCTATGATTTGTTGTATATAGTGAATCCTGTAAACATTTACTTACAAACCCCCAAAAACCCTTTAAAACCTGTCTAGACGTTATGGAACCCCCACCAATCAAGCACACTAAAGCCCTACCGCACCGACTGCAAAATCCTATTAAGCCCTGGAATGCATAAAAATGTTTCCACATCCGGATCGAGGCCCGACATGCCATTGGATGAAGCTCTTCAGACTATCGAAACCGTGACCGGCGTGGAGGCCCTCTTCAAGCCCCCCGAGCCTCGGTTTTTTAGGGTTGAAGGGTTTATAGCATTTATATTGGGTTTTAGAGGGTTTGGGGGAGGTGTCTAGGGCTTATTAGGTCTTATGCCTTGGTTTTAGGCTTTGCAAGAGTTTAAGGGTTCGGGCCAGGCCCTTTGCCGTCACCTGGGTGGTGTTATGGATAGTTTTTGCAAGCTCAGAGTGAGGCACCTGAAATCCGGCTGCTGGAAAAGCTGGCCAAAGACTTGCCGGACGACCAGTTTCTGCATGGCCGCTTGCGATGCATTCCAGTCCCAGAACTCCGGGGGGATCCAAAATGTGGATCCCTTAAGGGGGTTCCTACTGTAAAGTACCCTTCAGTAAGTGATTAGGGTCCCAAATTCGGGGATCTACTTGTTCTTCCTGGGGTATGCTTTTCTTTGTAATGACTGATCTTGTGTTTTTGCTTGCAAGTCTTCTTAGGCACGAACGCCTTTACAAACCAGAAGGCCTGCAGCCACAACCCTTCGTACTGAACAATTTTGGCTTTGTGCTCCTTAGGCTGTCTGGATATTGGCACAGGCTTCGATTCGCCTTTTGCTGAGGCAATTCGCAGTGGTGTCACCGGTCCACGCGGTTGGCACGTGCAGAGCTGGGTGAGGATCACCTCACAAGCCTGCACCTCCATAGTGAGATACTGGAGGCGCGGCTGGACGCCGTGAGAAACCTTTACAAACATGCAAAACCCCAGTCAAGCTGCCCGAGGCGGCGCTCCGTGGTGATGGCTGCGAGGCAGAAGCCCGCTTGGGCCTCGATGACGCGACCTCAGAAAGGGGTTTCTTAGGGTCTCTGCATTGCTGTTCAGGTTTAAGACTCCTGCGTCTCTTAAGGTTTTAGAGCTGCTGGGTTGTAGGGTTTAGGGTAGTAGAGTAGGAGTTGATGGCTGGAGGCTTGCTCCTTTCAAGGTTATGGTGCCCGGAATGCCGGAAATCCTAAAAGCCCACCAGAGACTGTGAGTATAGTTTTCAAGTTTTGTGGTTTGACCCAATTCCTGGACTGGTTCATGTCATGTCGCATCGTTTCTCAACAGCATGGTCGCAGTGCCCTGCTGGTTGATCATAAATCTTCCTTTGCATCAACCTGCAATTTGAGTAGTGAACCTCAAGCCCCTGGAGCCCGAAGTAACAGCCAGACGCTAGGCCCCAAGGCTGTTTCTTGAATGCTAATCCGGCTAATCCCTGTTCTATGTTCTTCAGCCCAGGCCCGGTAGACACCTTTCTCAAACTCACACCCTCGCCTCAACAACTTTTCGGAGCATCAATTCAGTCACATCCCGAATTCCGGTGCTGATTTCGGCGCCGGTTGTCACCACGTGTAGACAGCCAAGGATACATTGGGAAGACTCGGACTTCATCCGCTGCTGACAGCATCCTCCCTTCCAGATGAGGACCTTAGAGGTTTGCTGGGTTTCGGGATTTTTGTGTTCAGGGGCTTTAGACCCTCCAGGATTTAGGGTCCATCTTCAGAAGCATTCTTAATCGTCATACACCCTCTCGTCTTCGTTCGAACTGTGTATATGCTGCCGTAAGCTTCTCGTACACGATCCTCGACACTCGCACAGTGTCCCAGCCTGTATAGACACGTGTAACTTCGCCCACCCTTCCGTGGCCCTCGCCTTACTAAGTTATGAGATTCTGACCCACTTCATTTGCACACGCGGTGTGCCCCGTTTTCGTCAGTGATCGGCGGCTGCACAAAAGCAGGCACAAGAGGCCCAACAAAGAAACAATCCCTGCTCCTTAGAGCTCAACAGGGCCTCAACCCTAAGCCCCAGGATGGCCCTGCATGGGAGCGCCGTGCCGAGGCGCTCTGGCGGCTCGGCCAATGGCCCAGCGCAGTCCAAAACGGAAGAGGCGTGAAGACTGCATAGTCTTAGTCTAGAGAATAGGGTCAAGTGCCTTGGGTTTGATGGTTTAGGGCCTGCATCTCTGATCCTGTATTGGGGTTAGGTAAGTTGCAATTCGGCCTCGTTTGTGGTGTTTCTCAGTGGCTTCTTGTAAGCTTTCATTCAGATGTTGTGAGGCTTCTGCTGTTCACGCCATTGAACCATTGAAATCTTCTGCAGTTCTGGGATGCCCTGTTCACTTGAAGGCTTTCATGCAACTCTGCATGCCGCGTTGTCAGAGATGGCTGGCACCATGAGCGTGGTGGAAGGCCCACTGCTGGAGATGGTGGCCAGCACTATGGACGCAGTCCCTAGGCTAGTTGATCTGCATTAATTACGAGACTTGGATTTCCGATGTTTGGTTCTGTTTTGTGATATGGGGTTCAGGGTTGGAGAAAGAAGTGTTCTTAATGCAGTCGGTCGAGGTTCGACTGCAGTCTCCGCAGAGCCTCAAGGCTGCAGCCACAAAGTTGCAATCCATCGGTGCAATTTTCAACTGCGTCGACGCCGTGGTGGCTGACAATGCACCGGCTACAAAAGGGTCGTCAGTGGCGAACTTGGCAGCCAGCTGGCACAAGGCGGGCAATTCTTAATGAGGTACGGTATGGAGAACCAAAAACTGAAAGAATGCCCTAAGCCCTCGACCCTATAACTTCTAGACCCTCGCTAAACCCGGCAGCGCCTAGACTTACATAGACTGTGAAGCATCACATCACCAGGTGGGCAGCGGGCAGTTCCTGCAAATCGAGCAGCAGCTGCTGGGCTTTTGTCAAAAAGCGTCTTTCGAGTTGCCTTGGTAACCGGGTGAAAATTCCCTTTTCCTTGGTTCTCGAGCTGAAGCTATAAGAAGACGTTGAAAACCCGTATAAGAAGCACCCATACGAAGCTCCCATAAGCCCACCGAGTTCTGATAGCTAAAACTTGAGTCTTAAATCCTCATTCCTAAACCCTGCGGGCCCTTAAAGCCCAAACGTAAGTCAAGTTCCAAAACAAGAAGAGCTAGGCTGGCCTTGCGAGCGGCCCTCCTCTCGGCGTCAAAGCAGCCGCTTCAGGAGTTTCTGGGCCAGAGGTTATGGATTAGGGTCTACTAAGGCCAGAATATAGTTCGGGTCGCCCACAGTGTCCTGTATTGCGAGCGCCTCATGTTTAGCTCCAAGATGGCTTATCTCCGAGCTCTGGAGCCCTGAGGCCCATCTTCTCCTGCCTTGGGTTCAACTTAGGCTGGCTCGCCGAAGGCTGAAAGTCTTTCACACTCTTTGGGATGACCTGGGAATACTTGGGCCGAGACGGGAAGGAAACCTCCAAACCCAGGAGCCATGAACATCCCCTGAATTCCACAAGCCCCAAACCCGAAATCCCAGGTACCGCTTCCTTACAGCCCTGGCTGCTTTAGCGCGCGAGGCGGCGCAGTTTCACCGAGGCAGGATCTTGGATGTCCTGCCGGAGTTTGGGCAATCTCATGTGCGATAAGTGCTATACATGCACTTCATTCGGTTGTCAGGATAGTGGCAGTTTTGGTGTTATGATGGTGATTATTGGTGTTCTTGGTATGATAGCTACTATTGTTATTCGCACTGCCTTATTACTAGGATTGTTACAGCTAGTACTAGTACTATGAATAGCACCATTATTTTAGGTGTTGTTGTGGTTGTTGTTAGTTACAGTTTGTCACTAATAGCACGATCGTTATTGTAATGCTTGATTGCAGTAAGAGGAGTGTTCTTGTATTTCTGTAATTAGCTCTGCGGGCAAAACCTAAACCCGCCTTCGCCTGCTCGCCTGGTCTAACTTCTTTCTGGTAGAGGGCGGGTCTTAGGGCCCAGCCCCAAGCCCGAAACTCTGGAGACCTTCAGTTCAGAGTGTAGGACTCGCCCTGCTCGAGCGGGCACAGCGGACGCGTGAAAAAACGAAGCCGAATCTGAGCTGCAGGTGGAGGTTGCTTGGTGTTGCTCTAGCAGTCCAGGGGTGAAGGGCAAAATTTCGTATCCCTGTCGCAGGCTTCGGGTGCACATGTTCGCAAGTTTCAGAGTGACTGGACACCGTGCTCAAGCGGCTTGTCCTGAGTATCCTGATTCTGCTGCACGGCTGTGCGGGAATGAAATCATGACAAAACCCCTCAGCCCACACGTGAGAAGCTTACTTATACAATTGCCAGCTGTATGGTTAAACTGCCAAGGTTCCATTTGTATACCATACGACTTCAAGTCCAGGTTTATCGAGGTTTCGCTGCTTTTGCTTCAACAAGATGTCTGTTGTGCTGAGGGATCCCAGCTAACTCGACAGTGCCTCTCTCAGACGTGGCATTTGCGTCCACACAAGAATATGAAAGCCATGAAAGCCCAAAGTTTCAATCCTCAACCAACCGGCATGGATCTGAAGATTTAGGGCTTGGGGGTCTATCCCTTTCATCTAGTGCAGCCCTTACTTGAGCATCGAGTGGAGTCTTTCAGGGGCACCTTGCAGCTACCTAGTGCCACAGCTGTGGCTGATCTGGCTGATCGCATGATACTGCGAACTGCTATGGTGCCTTCTGTTGAGTTGTCATATCGTTTTCTCACTGCTAACATGACAGTCATACGTTTGTGGTTCAGCATAGTGTGGTGTCATGCATTACTATATGTGCCAAGTTCTATTGCAGCAGAATTTGATCGCACTCTGGTACACTTTCACACTGTCCATTATCGTAGGTGTTGCCTTGTACTTACTGGCTTCGAAACCTGCTTAGGATCTCATGCTCGCTTGACACGAAAACCCCAAGCCCACCTGCGCGGTCTTTAGGAACAAGCTTGACATCCTCAAGCTGCATTGGGAGCAGGCGCAGTGTCCAGGCACGCAAGAGGAAGCACCGCGGGCTCGATAGCGAATACCATCTCTTCGTGCTAGACCCTGCAGCAGTAAGTTGAGCATCATTGCGCCATGGCAATTCTTGGAGCTGTTGACACCCCTATGCCAGGGTTGTTGCGGGGCTGCTACGGAAGCACGCACCCCCTAAGCATAGTGAAAGTGCAGGACTCTTCGCAAGGTTGATAGATTGGTTAAGCCTTTGAAGTAAGCCCCAAGCTGGTCCGGTAATTTGCAAACTCCAGACAACCCTTGAGATGTGGACGTTGTAATAAGATTAACACTTTACACTGCACAACGCCTTGCCTGCCAAATGGAACCTGATCCCCTAAAATACACAGCCTGAAACACTGTCTTCGTCTCTGACCTTGTGCCAAAGCCTTCAATACCTCAGGTGCCTATGGGAGCTGCAGCAGACACAGCAGGCTTTGACTATTGCCAAGGCCTTGGCCAAAGACGCTCGAGAGATCAAGTCTGCGAACAGCTGGTATGCCGAGATTCTGGCGGGCACCGGAACATGGCTTTCAATTTCCAAGCTGGAGAGCCCAGAAGTCATCGATGCCGAGTACTTTGTCCCAGCGACCAAAGCAGACCCCTGCCACTTTCAGGCTCCGAGGGTTTAAGAGTGGTTCGAGCTTTAGTGACGGGGCTGGCCTTCGAAGAGTCATTACGTAAGCGAACCTTGCAGGCCCTCACCCTACAAAGCCTACAGCATGCGCTCGGCACTTCAAAGTCCCCAAAGGTCCTAAACAAGGCCATAACTAAACCATAAATCCCTAATACAGCCTAAACCCAATTCCATAAAGATCCTATAAACCTTAAGCCGCTTAAGCCTGAAGCCGTAATCCCCTAAAGGCGAGGCGTCAGTTCGCTGAGTTCCTCGACAGCTGCCTGGCAGAGGAGCTTAGCCGACAGCGCTCCGTGCAGTTTTCCCTGGCCAAGGCCGGCCCTTAAGGGAGTTTCGCGAGGGAGGCATAGGGTTTAGGCTTCAGGGGTGCTGCAGGAAATCTTGCCAGGCGAGCACCAACTAAGTCTGTGTAACGGGGCTTAGCGGTTTAGGCGTGCATCGGCCTCAGTCACTGCTTTAAAGAAAAGGGTTTGGGGTTTTGGTGGACTAGGGATTTGGGGGTTTAGACTTTATAGAGCTTAAGCTGTGGATCTGTTTTAGAAAACTCGTCGTTTGGAGTTTGCGGGTGTCGGACCCCGGGGTGCATGATGCAAAATTTGCTACCAGTACCACTGCAAGAGCTGCTTTCGCTGTTCGCAATGATGTCAACTTTCGTAATTAAAGCCTGTCGTGGTTGTCCCCAGGATCAGCATGGGCATCCTTACCACTGTGTTCCTCATGATACCGCTGATCATGGCTATGCATCCTTACCATCCTTAGCATAATTCTCGCCATTCCAATCAGTCCTCATGTTGAGACAATATGTGGATGCGGGGACGCGGTGACGGGGTAATTGCGCTTGGATAAAACCTGTTTGCCTGGAAGACTCTGCTACTTAAATCCTGAAACCTACATGCCAAACCCCAGACTCTGCACCCACCATCCGCTGCCCTCTTTACTCATATCGACCTCCCCGTGCGAACTGGAAACTTCTGCACCGCATCCGAAGTTCAACTGCCCAGTCGATCCCGCGCCCCTAACCTAAACCGTACTCCTCAGTCGTATAGGAAGGTATTACTCAGCCTTCAGGATTCTCGACAGAAGACCGAGGAGCAACTGGCGCAGGCGCTCATGGCTCGAAATTTGATACCCTTGTGCCGGCATGTCACTACGGTTGAACTTCAGGTCAGGTGCGTGGTACACGGGTCGAGGGCCCTGCAAGCCGCACCAATTGGTTTCTGTGTTCGGGTACGTTTTCGAGACTGTAAGCAGGGCATTGAGCCTTGAGCCTTGCGCTTGAAACCCGAAAGCCAAAACCCAGAACATGAGTCCTGCATACGCCTGGCATCCCAAATCCGCTCCCAAAACCCGAAAGCTTCAAAAATCCTGCAGTCCTCAACCCTACATCCGACAGCCCCACACCGCGAACACCGCAAAATCCGTAAAACCAAAAGATCAAGGTGGTCAGCCAAATGGAGGCGATCAGCAGGAAGGCCGAAGGCCGAAACCTGAGGGGAGCGTTCCTCCAGGAAAGAGCGATGGGCTAGACTTGAGGTTTACAGTTTAGGATTTTCGAGTCGAAGGTCGAGGGTCGGAGGCTGTATGTTGGACTTCGGGTGTCAGGTTTTGTGGTAGGGGTTTTGGAGTTTGTTTAAGGTTACTTGAAGATGACGTAGAATTCAGGGTTTCTTTCTTCTCTAGGTTAAGGGTGTATAGGGCTTCGGAAGCACAGCTGCAGAGCACAAAATCGTGATAGGAAATCATCATTGCCTAGCTTTCGAGGTGTGAGAGGGTTTCGTAAGTACAGCTTGCCTACTCGGTGCTTGGGAGTTTGGTCAAGAAGATGACGCAGGCTAACTTAATATTTCAAGCCGCTGAGCTCAAACTTGCCTGGCGCTTCAAGTGACAGCCAGGCTACCGGTCACAGGATCCATGGTGAAGGGTGTAGCCTAGGAGTTCCAGGACGTTCTGAAGATCAGGTCGTAGATTTATATTCCGTGAGTAACTTGGAACCCCAAACTTCCTCTGACCCGGCTTTACACAATGCTTTTTCCTGAAAAATCTGGGCTCCAGCCTTTTTGCGGAGACTGTGTGAGGGTGCAGAACCCAGAAAGATCGAGGATTTTTCTACGCCCTAGGCCTTAAACCTCAAAATGCCTCAGCCTTCGATGCTGGGCCAGGAAAGGCAACATAAGTCCGAGGTCAACAAGACCGGAAGCTGCTTCACAGCCTCCAGCAGCAGCGTCGAACGCTTGTGGCCTGGCTCACTGGGTCCAGGGCGCAGGGCCCCAGGGCCCCCATGCTTGGTCGTTTTCAGATATACTTGTTTTGCTGGACAGGGTAGATTACATGATTACATGTTACCTAGAGACCTAGAGTCTCCATTGTAGTTCCTTTTTCGGGATACTTTATAGGATCCGAGGTATAAAATTACTGGAACCAAAAAGGAACTGCCATGGAGACTACAGGTGTTTAGAGCGGATGTGAACCCTATGACCTGAATCACCTGAATGGGCCCAAGGCATTCCTTCGCAGCACCGGCGCCCCAGCCCAAAGACACCAGCCCAAAACATATGCACGACCGTTCGATTGCAGGCCTAAGGCGCCGGCTTCGTTTAGTTCACTTTTTTCCCGGGCCCAAAACCCTAACCCACCGAATGCGAGCAAGACAGATTGACATGAGGAGCTGCAGCGCCAGGAAGATCAGAAAACCTTGCAGAACGAGGAGGCCGCGGCTTCGGGTAACGAGGGGGAACATTGGGGGTTGTCTGATAGCTGGGGTGCCACATTTTGGCGTCCGGTTTTCCCGGGGTCCTACTATGCAGCCTTTGTATTAGGGTCTCTTCTTGTCTTAACCTCCGCAGTCAAGCGTGAGTAGGACAAGGCCGGCCAAGCAGCAAAAACACACATTAAACGTTCAGGAAATCAAACACCCGTACAGGGGCCAGTTGCCATCGCAGGCCCAAATCTAGCTTTGGTAGGAAGCTCTGTGCCGGCTGAAGGCGTAAAGAGTTTAAGTTTCATAGAGACTCGAACCCCTGCTTCCGGATACGTTCCGACCCCGAGCTATGCAGCCAACACCATGCCCCAGCAAAAGTGACAGCCAGCGCGTGGGTAGTTCTGGTCAGCGTGAACATGTTGCTCATGTTCCTGCAATGCATGTGTTTTGGTGTGAGTCCCGGCCTGCACGCTTGTAGAGTGTGGGCTTTCGTTCCAAAACTGAAGCTCCAAACCCGGTAAACAGCAACCACACAATAATAAATCATCGCACCTCCTTGCCCGTCACCGTGCTGGCTTGACGGCGTCTTCTATACGATGCTATTTGAGTCGCTAGATTCAGGACACTGCTGATGCAGGATCGTTCTGACTTTATAGGTCGTTCTCCAAGTCTTGTTCCAGTTTTTCAGGTTACACCGTTGCAGCAGACTTGAGATACAAGCTATGAAGGCTTTGAAGGAATCCTTATATAAGCTCAGCACACCCGCAAAAAATGCTGCTAATTAGCACCCTTTGCCATACCCCCGCGCGAACAATCAAAGACCTGTTTTCCCCAAAGCCTCCGGACAGGCCAGGCTAGAGGCGTTCGCGACCAACTGCGTCAAGCAGCTGGCACGCTGCCTCAGTGATGGCCAGGGGAACCTCACGCAGGTGGCCTGCCGATTTCTGTCTCTATGGTTCGACTGTCAAGAGTACCCCGGCATTACACGGATTGTCCGAGAGTCCATCCCGACACTGCCACTCGGCTTTTTCAAAGGTACGGACAACCGCAGCTTGTAGGGTTTTTCAGGTTTGTTAAGGCGAGGCCATGGGCTGTATGTGACTCTATGAGGCTTCTGCAGGTTGTAGACGGTTTGATTTAAGCAACTTCGAGGATCTCATCTACTACGAGCCATGAGGGCTTCGGATTTGGAAATTGGTCTTGAAGCTTGCTGGCAGCTGCTTTTGTGGCAACCTCTATGGCAGATGAGATGTCTACGGGTGGTGGTGTTCAATGGACTGGAGCCACTCTTGCAAAGCTTGGTATCTGCGGAGCTGAAACCGGCTGAAACCACGAATCCTTGAAGCCCAACGCGCAACAAAATGTCCCCTAAGCAGCCTCAGGGCAGGTATGGCGCTTCCAAAGTCTTCTACCCGTAGATACCTTACATGCACCCAAGGGTAGGCAGGTCGACCCAAGGGCTTTCTTTTATGTAAGGTGGTGCATCCAAGGGACCGGTTTGGGGTCTCGGATGGAAGGTTTCAGCTTTTGGATCACGCGACCCAAGAAGCATACTTACGATTGAAGCATTGGAAGCCCCTGAGGCATCCACAGGCTCAGTATCCACGGCATGACCCCAAGTCCCGCAAAGCTCTCGCCGGAAAAAAACCCTGAGACAGCCCCAAACATAGAAAAACATGAATCGTCTTGCCAAGTTGCCAACAATAGTAAAAACCCCTGCCTCTTTGATGCCTTTAAAACAACTCGCCAACAAACGACTCAAACCCTGAAGCCGCAAACCCAAAGGAATCAAGCGCCGCTGTTGCCCTTCTTGTACCAGCTCGCCTCGCGACTGGATCTCAAGGAGCTGGCTGGGGTTGCGGGGTCTGGGGTAGAGTTCAGGGGCCTCAGGGGTCTAGGGCTAAACCCTAAAGGGACTTTGCACGACGGTTGGTGCGTGGGGTCTACGTACCTGGCAGACCTGAGTTCTCTAGTCCACCCGACTTGTGGTAGAATCGTCGCTTGAAGCTCTTACTATATTCGTGGTTGTCATAAACTTCCACAAGCTCAGGCTCGCATGGCTATGCTCGTCCCTCTTCACTACATGCAACAACCTGGATGCGTATTTTCGCCTAGACTCGAGATTCCCGCGACATCGTATGTAGGGCTTAGGGTTTCGGGGATGAGGGTGTCGGGGTCGAGGCGTTGCAGGCTGGATGCAGAAAGAGTGTCGGGGCTCAGCCTCAACAGGACTTAGATGAGCCTCTCAATCCTAAGCCAAGCAGAAACAGGATACTTGCCGTAAGAAACTGTTACCATCGCGTCACGGCCTGTATACGGTAGGTAACGTCTCGCATCACGCTTATTCGGCATAGTGCCTTCGAACCCGGGCGTTGTGAATGAGCGTGTGTTTGTGTGCCCGCCCGTGAGCGTGCGAGTGCATGAGTAGGGGAGGGAGGGAGGGAGGGGGGTGGGAGGGAGGGAGGGAGGGAGGATTTCTGACTCGGAATGGACCCCCAAAAATAGACCTCAAGACAGAACGTCATAAGATCAACAGAAAGCGGCCCCCGCAGTTTCAGATACCCTGAAATCTGCAGTTCCGAGAACGAAGCGACGCTCGAAGGAGGGTCTGTTTCAGCAGACACTGGATGAGCTTTTGGCTTCTCGTCCTCTGAGACCTAATGGTTGTTGGGCTTACACAGAGTTGCATGTAACTTCTGGTGTCTAGTGTCTTGGGATGTGGTGCAGCGTTTTTTGAGTGTGTAACCTTGCGCCTAGCCGGGTCTAGGACTGTCGGTTCGCAAAGATTGCGGCTACCCCTCAGCAGCAACTTGTGTACCAACGCTGTAAGAACTGCAGCCGGAAGCTCCTGAACCTTGAACCCGTTGGCCATGTCTCCGAACTTCAACCCTACCGTATTCGCCCTCATCGTTCGCAAAATCATTCCCCAATACTCGCCGTCAAGAAAGGCCAGAGCCTCTGTCTGATCATTTAGACCTCGATCGCTGAACCCTGAACGGCCCTGAACCTTAAACCCAAACTGAGACCAGGTCCGCTGGGCCTTGTTGCTGAAAACCTAAGATCGCACTTCTTTCTAGAGGTCTCACTCGCTCAGCGTGGCCCGCAAGCACTTTGGCCGCTGATTTTGCTCCGGAACGGCGACCGTGTGCAGAAGGAACTGTTGGGTGCAGGGCTCTAGGTGGGTCGCATACAGGAAAGGACTAGATTCGGGGCTTCGAGTGTACAGGTGGAAGAGTCTACGCGGTTGAGGGTCTGGTCTAAGGTCACTCGCGGCTAAGCCTTCACGGAGGTTTATGATGGTAAGAGAAGAGCCTCACTCCATTATTTTTGCCTTACCTCTCCGTCGGGAAGGCACTAGTGTCGAGGTTGATGAAAGGCTGCGTAGATCTTTTGAGGTACGCACCTCGAGAAGCCCAGCTAAACCCCTTTACCTAGGAACTCCTGAGCCCAGCAACCTGGAGAGTCCAGCCAGGACATGCAAGGTAGGGCACTGCACAGACATGCGCCCAACAAACTGGCGGCTGCGAAGCGAGTGCTGGAGCGACTGCGGAAGCTCCCCGCGCTGAAGTCTGCGCCATGGCTGCCTGTTTTGAAGCTTCTTAAGGCGAAGGTAAGCCCAAATTCCGCAAGTTGGTAGAACTTGGGGTTTCAGGCTTTCTTATCGCTCAGGGTGGAATCCGAAGCTAAGCCTCGAATCCCAAACCACACCCACAGTTTGCCAACATCCACAAACTGCGGGATTAAAGTTTCGTTGAGGCTGCCTATTGCAACTTACGTCCTAAAGTCTTGGTTCAGGCCCCAGCCCCATGAGGGGGTGACGACGGTAACGATGGGGATGGTGTTGATGGTGATGATGGCCGTGCTGATTTTGATGTTGATGAAGGTGACCATGTGAGCAACATGATGGTCGTGCTCATCGCACGGATTGTCAAGCTGATGATGTGTGTGAGATTCCGGCCTAGGTGTTGGAGACCGTGGAGACCCTGAACAAGTTCTACCTGGCCATAGCGGCCCGCTGCCCAGTAATTGCAGCTTGTGGCTTATGCAGTTAAGGCTGGGCTCGAAGCGAAAGCATGCGAAGTTTTTCGTTTTTGTCGCCCTCGCGCAGGAGTTTCCGATTGACAAGAAGAACCGCGACGCAGAGGTGGCGTTGTCACGCATCCCCGAGTTCAAAGCCGTGACGAAGGCCTCGTAAGCTTGTTCCATGTCTTGTCCAAGCTCTTGTCTTTGAAGCCACTGGTTCGAAGCGTTTTCGCTACCGAGGCCGGCACATAAGAATCAAGAATCTCGGGCGCCCGGGGACCTCCAAAATCCGAGGCTTATTCTGGCGGGAGTTGCAGAAAACACGGAATCCACATATAAACTCCAAATAGTCGCATGCGTCGTATGGGACCCGCTGTTCGACCCCTTATCCAACGGAACACCCACACGTAAATCCCCGAAACCATAGAATGCAGGCGCTGCAGAGCACAAAAATCCCAGTTCCCACCTCGTCCGCCGTCGACTCTCACATCGAAGGCTTCGCTGACACTGGGTCGCAAGCATTGCGCTTAGGTGGCGATCGATCTAGGAGAAGCAAGCAGCAGTTCCGCGGTTGCAGCAACACTGGGACAGCATGAAGGACAGCAACCGTGGACATAGCTGCTAGACTCTGTTAGACCATGAAAACATGTACCCCTATGTGCGTTCAGGTGTGTTTGGAGTTGTTTTGCAGCTCTATTTTTCCGCGGCCAGAGCCGTCAGAGGGTTTAGGGTTTAAGGTTTAGAGACAGCTTACAGTTGAGAATTTAGGCTTTCGTCTTGGATCGGGTTCTTGCGGATGGGATCTCTCGCGTTGCTGTACGATATTAACGTCAGTCACGATGTCTACGACATTCTCATACAGACGTCCAGCGCACGCATCAGATGATTCATGACAAGTTCGGAACGGTCATTCGGTTCAGCATAGTTTCAGATGCCGTTGATCGGCGGATGCAAAATCTGGCTCCGCAGTGGAGCTGCTGGGGCTGTTTGCTCCAACTCCGGCGAAGTGGAAGGCCTGTTGCAAAAGGCCTCAGTCTTAAATCCTAGGTCTAATCCCTGAGTGACACGCACGGCAAAGAAGCAGCGATGCATCGTTGCATCGGAGAGCCACGAGAATACCGATCAGAGCCGGGTCTAAAACTCCACCGTGAAACCTTCACATACGGAATCGTATCCTAGAAGTTTACGAGCCCCTAAACCATAAGCCGTAACATACACCCCGGCCAGCCCTGTAAGTGCCCATAAGCCCAAGCCCCCCCCGCCCCCGCCCTTATAACACCCGGTGGATTTCTCAAGACGACGAAGAAGACGAGAACAACCACGACAACCACCACGACCATGACCATCAAAGTAAGCGCAACGGCAACGATGACAGCTTTGATTCGAACATGGCAGGCTATTGCCAGCTTAATTCAAGCCGAGATACCTCGACCAAGCCCAGGCCTGACGTGCAAAATCGAAGAGACGATAATGCTTAAGAGGATCTGAGCCGAAAGATTTGATATGCTGAAGCTTGCTCCGCGGGTAGCAGCTCGTTGCCAAGCCGTGGCCAGCCCCGCAGCTAGCTGCTGCTGCTGCTGCTGCTGCTGCTGCTGCTGCTGTTATTGTTGCTGCTGTTGTTACTTTTTCGTTTACTGCTGCTGCTGCTGCTGCTGCTGCCGCTAGTACTACGACGACGACTATGTATACTTCTTGTTCTACTACTACTACTA